TATTTTATTATATTCAATTAAAAAGTACTTTCATGCCCTTAAAATAACATCAAAAAAAGGTTAAAAAACTAGTGTTTTAAATCATGTTCTTTAAATTCCGTTTAATTTGTATTATTTTTTAAATGACTACAACCGTGTTTTTCGTAATTATCTTAACATTTAATAAGAATAATTATATTTGACATTTTCAAATACATTACTTATAGTACGTGTTTCTAATATAATAATCTTACGTATATTGTGTCATAGAAAATTATTTAATTTATTAAATGTATACAAAAGTATTGTAATTTTTCTTATTGAATTATATATAAAATATTTTATAATTAATTCTCATTGTTATATACAGACTGTTAAAAAGAATTTATAATAAATAAAAAATGACTTATATTTTTTAATGTAGCATTTATATTATTTTCTTTGTTATCTAAGTAAATGTTATTAAATAACATTAAATCTTTAATATCATAAATTTTGATTATTATAATTCAGCTTATCTCATTTTGAAAAGTCTAAGCCATTATTTGTAATATGTATTAGAAAGATTGTGTTACTTTTTTGGATTTACAAACTATTTTAATTTATTGCCATTGCTTCAAATAATAAAGAAATAAATTAATGTCAATTATTAATAATGTAGCGTGCGCATAGCTTTCATATATAGATACCATCAGCGTACACGTGCAGCTAGGACAAATGTCAAAATTTAAATGGTTGCGCCTCAACGTGCGACGCGGCGCTGTCCCGCAAAAATCAGGTGGTCGCATTTACCAGCTGTGTATTGCTACCTTGTATTCGCGATACGCGTACTACAAGTGTTACTTCTTTTACTGTTAAATAAATGCTGACTGCGAAAAATCATGCATGGATTGCATATTCTGTATTTCCTCAGATTTAAAAATTTTTTAGATCTTCCTGATTTTTCAAAAAATCAACAAAAATAACACATGGAGGGACTACTTTTCCGCGGAGTAATATCGGAAAACGTTCGAGCAAGTCAATATTCATTCTGCTCTTTTACTGTAACAATGCATTTTTTTGCTCGAAAAATGTAGTCAAAACAAAGAATATGAATTTTAGGACATTATCAAAGTGGAATTTCTTAAAAGTTTAGATTTCATAAACAATTATTCATCTAAATAATTTTTGCGGAGGAATAACGTCGTGCTGCGATCGCACAGACGCAAGCCAATCCTGTTCATTGGCTGAAGGAAGCGAGCGATTCACACGAATACAGACTCACACTTTTCTGCAAATACATATTCACCAACACACGAATGATTTTCGTCCAGACTTCAGGGCTGTATCTATTATATGTAATACCCTTTCAATCATTCAAACATTTTTCATATCTTTAACGGTCTGATGTGGTTAAATCAAATTTGTAAGTACTTATATATTTTTTTAATTAAATATTATACACAACAATAATAACTATTTATCAAAGAATGATTGATATTAAAACTTATTGCTACCAAATGCTTTGAATTTTCGTAAAAATCGTTGAAATAAAACTACCGCTATTACTATAACGTGTGGCACGATAATATTTGTAAAGCTTTTTGATCATTGCACCTTTTATAATCATGAACTTTAACGTTCATTTATAAATTGTTTCTCATAGAAAAAAATGCCTACTTCGTGCGTAGTCTGTGCTGAAAATTAGGAATCAAATATCGTGAACGATATTCAACCTTTAATCGATGAAAATATTGTTCGAAAATATATGAAGCCGTATTAAGAGCTCGTTATATTTGACAAAATAATAATGCATGTGCTAATAGTATACATGAGAGCGAATCGACATAACTACGATCCTGGTGACTCGGTGTAAGTAGTGACGAAGGGAGAGGCAGGTTCGCGCACACACACGCGCACACCGGCGCAGAGCAGGGAGCGAATTTACTCGCCGGCTCTCAACAAGAACGCGTCGACATATACACCGTGCTTGAACGTACTGAGGTGATATATTTGTTATTTATCCTACGGTCGAAGGCGAGTCAATCGTGAAAATGGCCGGGGAAAAGCGTACTCAGGATCAAGAGGAAACTTTGCTTTCGGAAATGGTGATCCTGGTTGATATCGAAGGCACCACGACGAGCGTAAGCTTCGTGAAGGTAACAAAGACCATGGCCGTGAGGCAGAACGCGCCCTACGGTTCTCGCATTTCACCGGTTTTTCAACTTATTTTCTGACAGTACCCAATGATTCGAATTTATCCCGCGAGAATATTTACACGGAGAAATTGTTGAATGATATTATATTATCCTGCTGGCGAAGAAAATTCATGATCAATGCTTTCGCGCGTGTTGTATGCGACTCTTTCGGTGTAGTATGCCGGTTGAAATCCAGTTCAGTTTCAGGTTCCTTGTCCGTGAGACAGCGAGTTTCATGGAAGGTAACAGTCGCAGTTTGCTCGAATAGAAACACATTCATATTGTATTGCATTTGATTTTTGACATTAAGATTTCGTACTATATTCGCTCGTTTCTATTTTTTCCATAATATCGCGATCTTTCCGCAGAATGTTATAGTGAAAACAAACCATGCGTGTTTCATAAAAATATCGGTTGTTCCTCGGCGTGTAAAATGCAGGTCGCGAGCCATCATTTTGTAACGCTTAATGTGTAGTATTTTTCAAAATAACGGAAACCATAACGGCGCATTTTACGATTAATTCGATCCGCGATGAACTTTCTACATATATCCCCGCCTTCGTTTACAGGACGTTCTTTTCCCGTACGTACGAGAAAATTTAAACAAATATATCGAAAGTAAATGGGAGGATGAGGAGTTTAAGAAGGACTTCGAAAAATTAAAAGAACAGGTAAATATTGCAAATAAAGTTTAAAAATATGTTTATAAAACATAGTTGACCTTCCATGATAAAGAATGTCTTTCTCTTTGTTTGGATCATTGAAAGATTCTTGGAAGTGTGCTTAATAGAATTGTATACTATTTAGTGGTGTGATTATTAATTCTTTGCAGAAACATGTATTTATATACACATTATACTTTTGGTTTAGAAAACATTTGAATGTTTTTCCTTTTATTAAGAATGCAATATAACAGAATGAATTCTACTGTATTGGCTTTAATAATGAATCCTAGGAGCTGACCAATAGCATAACAGGAAAGAGGCAGCTGGTAGTTAGGTGGTAGAAACTGACCTGAGAATATTCTTTGTCCCAAAAGTTAGCTACCCTAGCCTATATATGTATGAAATATGGGATTCAAATGACATGAGCTTTCTGCATCACATTAATGCTTTTCATTTTAGATGATTTAAAATTTGTTGTAATAAAATTTAATATGTACGTTTTTAAATAATTTCTTAATATTTTTATTTAATTTTACAAGTTTGTTTTATGTTAAACAGTGAAAATATTCATTTAATATTAAGTAAATGTATTTATTAAAAGAAATTACAAAGAAAAATCTATTGCATTGTACTTTTAAAGTATGATTATAGAAAGCTTTTATTTAACTTGAAATAATTACATTTATACAGATCCATGAAAATAATATAAGTTGTGGTAATTGTATCTATATATTGCTATGTAGAATAATTTTGCATAAACAATTTTCTAAGCAGGATCACTGCTGTCAATTTTTTATAAATTTACTCCAAATATTTAATGATTTTATTTTAGGCAAAGAAGGATGAAGAAGATAAAGTTGATGGAGTTGTGCCCATTGTTGGTGCTAATGTGGAAGAAGAAAAGAAATCACTTATAAAAAATATATTGTGGCAAATGGATGGTGATCGTAAAACCGGTGCATTGAAACAATTACAGGGACATATGTGGCGTGAAGCTTACAATTCTGGAGCAGTGAAAGCGCAGTGAGTATTTTTATCCAATTTAATTAAATATATATTTATATTTAAGGTATGTTGTATTATACATGTAATAGTATGGTTGAATAGTATTAATCTAGTATTAATATATTTGTAACAATGTTACTATGTTACAAATATATACCATGTACTAACATATTCCTAAATTTATTATTGTATATTACATATTTACTAACACGAAATTGTAATGCTACATTTCAAAGACTAACTTGAGAGTAAGCAAATAATTGTGCATCATATGATATACACATTATATGTATATCATTGTCACATGTTGCGAGGTGAATATGTTCTGTAAGGGCTCACTTCAGTTTTATATATTTAGATCTATCTATCTAATTAATGTAAAAAATGTCATATGGATAATTAAAGAATAATAATGTATAAACAATTTATATAGTGTTTATGAAGATGTTCCGAAAGCACTAGAATCATGGACGAACGATGGTAAAAAGGTCTATGTTTATTCAAGTGGTAGTGTTGAAGCACAAAAGCTTTTGTTTGGACATTCTGTGCATGGTGATTTACTTAAGGTATTTTATATTTTATTGTACATAACACAATATATGCATTTGTGTAAAAGGTTAACAAGATATTTTACGATAATATATGTATATAATTTAACATAAAGTAATAATGTAATTACTTTAGTATTTCAGTGGTTATTTTGATACTGAAGTAGGTGCGAAGCAAGAACCAAGTAGTTACAAAAACATATTAAATAAAATTGGAGTAGAGGCATCGACTGTAATTTTCCTCACTGATGTTGTTAAAGGTTAGTAATAGTTTTATAATGTTTTATTATCGAAAGTATGGGATTATGTACTAGTATAATAATTATTGTTTTCTACAATAGAAGCAGCAGCAGCGAAAGAAGCAGGTTTGTCAACAGTTGTGGTAGAACGTGAGGGTAATGCTGCCTTGACAGATGAAGAAAAGGCAACTTTTACCATCATCAAGTCTTTCTTAGACTTGACATTTCAAACATCTACGAAGAGGCAGAAGTTAGAAACAACAGAAACTCAAGAAACCACAAATAAGGATTCAAATGCAAGTAAAGATATCAGTGAACCTATGGATACTTCTGAAGATGTTGAGATGTCCGATGTTAGTGAGAAAAAAGATGAAAAGGTTGAAATAAAAAAAATTGAAGCTGTTGAACCAGAGACAAATGAAAGCGCGAAAGACCAGTTAGTAAAAGAAACCCAGAGTTCAGATGTAAAAACAGATGAACCTATGATTACTGACGCAAAGGATGCGCCGGCTAATGAGAATGCGGCGGAAACTGTAGTAACAGAAAAAATAGAGACCCAACCTTCAGAGGTGATTACAAAAACAGATGTTTCTGAGAATGTACCTGTTGTGAGCAATAATACCGAATCAACATTAACACCTCCAAAGAGCGATACGGATAAATCTATGGGAACCGAAAAAGTATGTAAGCCTATGGATACCACAGAAAAAGTTGTAGAAACTACATCTGCAGAAACAATTCCTACTGCCAGTGAACCTTTGGATGCTGTAATAAGTGAGCCTAAATCAAAGTCTGAAGAAGTTTCTATTAAAGAGAAAAAGACTGAAGAACTCACAAATATCATGACAGAAACGAAATCTGAAGAAAGCACAGTATCAGATGTAAAAACTAATGAAAATGTTTTACAAGAAAAGAACAGTAGTAGCAACGTAGAAGAGAAAACTGAAGAATGTACTAAAAATAAGTCTGAAAAAGAAACGACTGAGGAGTCTACTGAAAAAGTAACTAAGCCTAGTACAGTAGAAACCCAGAAATCAGAAAATGAGGAACCCTCGGTTAAACTTAAACAGGAATCCACGAAAGCAGAAGAAAAGCCAGTAGAAAATGGTGATGTACCATTAACTAATGTAGAAAAAGTGACTGCACCAACGATAACAGAACCAGAAGCTACTGGTAGCAAAGCAGATACAGACGCTGAAGTTAAAAGTTCAACAGAGACAATTACGGAAACTAAACCGGAAACGGAATCAGAGTCCGTTAAAGATAAAATTGCTAAGACAAAAGAAACAGAAGATGCAGCTGTACCTGTAAAAGAAAAAGAGGAGACCGAAGTTAGCGCCGAAACAACAAAACAAGAATCGAAGGAGAAACCAGTGAAAGAAGATATTGTGGTAGATGAAGTGAAAGACACAAATACAGTGGATTCCGAGAAGAAGAAATTAAATGGTACAACACAAAATGGAGATACAGATGTGCCAGTGTCGGATGATAAATTACATAGAAATGGACTAAACGAAGGATCATCATCTGAAAATGTTAATTTGTCATCAACCAGCGAAAGCACATCTGCGCAGAACGGTGAACCAGAGAGTTCCTCAGAGGCTAACGCTGAATCTATAAAAGTAAAAAAAGTCGTTGATTCTACAGTAGCCGACGGTGCCGGCGAACCTGACGTTGTTCCCCCTGTAGTTGTAGCTGCGACGTCTTAATCTTGTTCTTATACATTTTAAGAAGTCCTTCATACATAACCCCAACCCATAATACTTATCCGCAGGTATAAACTGAAAAAGTTGGCTCCCTACACCTTACATAAATCGTATGACGTTAAAGAAGTAATACGTTTAATTTAAGAGGAAGTTCATAGGATTTCTATTTCTTCAAAAAAAAAAGAGAAAAAGATGCGAAGGGACACGATGATACGTCATCCGCAGCGTGTTTCAGATTCGATTATCCTTTAGGTCTAATAACTTGGATGTATCATGCTTGTTGATTGTGCTCCAGAGAGATGGTCGTAAAACTTTTGTATTTTAGTCGTTTAACTTATTCCATTGTGTTTCGGCCTGTTTTTTTTCGTTTCCCCTTTTTTTTTAGTTCGTTTGTATCGAGACTGCTTTTTTTATGATTGACAGTATGCATTTATATTATGAATTGTCTAAAGATAATCGAACGTGTCATTCGCTGTACCGTCTGTTTACAAGTATTTTTCATTTATCTTGTTTTTTTTCTATTACATTTTTATAATGTGTATTAAAATCTTCTTTCATATTGCCTAAACGGAATGTTACGGTATAAGAACTCATAGGATAGGAAATTCATCACAGACGGAGTATGCCGAAATACCGAATATATGTACCCTGTGCCAAATGAATTAATTCGTCAATTTTTTAACGCTTTTTTCCAATGCGGTTACGCGTACAGCGTTGAACGATTTGCTCGATAATTTTTAGTTTCTTGTAGCAAAATGGGAGACTTTTGAGACTATTATGATTTTTAAGACTGAATTGATAATGCCTCGAACAGTAGCTGGCTTTAGACTATACACTATATAATTTTTGCATACTCTTGTGTACTTAATTTTATAAACTGATATAAAAAAAAACACAGTGATCTTCGAATCACAGGTCTGATGCAGAATAAGTTGTGGTCCAACATTGAGCTTCATTCGACCACATGAATGACTACTTATTCGCGTCCCATAGGCCGCAGACGTGACTTACCTGATGTTTCGAACATCGTATTCCTATTTTCTTTTGCGACTTTATTTATCAAAATGTATACATCTAGTTTATAATATTTTGAACTAT